TATTTTCCTTGACACAAAATGAAGCAGTTAATTAGACCTTACTTCTTGGTCAGGCAAAACTAATAAGTTGTGAATTGTCCATTCTTAAAACTATGTACATGCTGCATGATTTTGTTTCCACAGCTTTAAATATATACAGGATACCGAGTACTTTATAACCTTAAAGGGGTAAAATATGAAGGCACATAGCTTCCTAAGATTTGAAGATCAGAGGCTTTTTTTTCGAAGTAAAGATGAAAGCTGGAAGTTTTCATCAGGGCTTTTGATTACAATGTTTTCAAAGTAGGTTCTGTGCATACGAAGAGGAACTATACCAAGAATACAAGAGATATAAAGTGGTTCAAATAACTTTATTACTGTCACTGGTTCACTTCCAAGTTACATAACAAAATACTATTAAAAGGGATATGAGTAAAAGACAGATTTACCATACCATAACTTAAAATAATAAATTCAAATATATATCTCATAACATATCCAAGCTTAACATTAACTAAAATGAAAAATAACATTAGTTCCATTGGATTGCAATAACTTTTTTTTCTTTTCCATAAGCTTGTGCCTGTCTACAATTTGATCACTAATTTCCTCATGTGGTGATGATGCTTAACCAACGGCAGAGGCGATGACTTCGGAAACTCCTGGGTCATCTGATCGCACAGTCAGCTGCATCGTCACGCCATCTGAGAGTGCTAGCTTGGCTCTCACTAGCACTTCATGACCACCGCGATAGGTACCTTTTCGAGACAAAGGAACAAAAGCTCAGTCTGTGCTCAAAATAGCATTATCAGAAAACAATAAATGCACATCTATGTATAAAAGCAAAGGACACATTCTGCATGTACCGAACTAGAAGGAAGGTTTTACCTGCGAGATATAAGGTGTGGGCACTCTTGCCTTCGGGAATGCGGTCGGAGCGGTCGCAAGGATGCATGCCTAAGAACTGCGTGACCTGCGTGACGGCCTCTTCCAGGGAGCTCATGGCAGAGAGGGCGAATGTGTCTTCCAGCTCATTGGTTGCTCCCAGCTCATCCCAACCGGCAGCGAAGTTATTGCGTGCGGCTCTCTGGACGTGGTCCGCTACGCTAATCTCGATATCCTCAAGCTGTTAAAAAAAGAAGGAAACTAGGTTAATGACACAACGCTGGTCTTTACTTAAATGGCTAGTGTATAATGAAACAAGATTCATCCTACACGGGAAATTGTAAAACTGGAAAAAGAAAATTAAGACAGTGAAACTTACCGTGTAGTCGTCCTCATATCCATCTTCAGTATCAGGCTCCCCTGTAGCTGGATCGCAGTCCCGAACTTTGAATTTGAGGGTAGCCGAAAAGGTACCTAAGAAAAGGTGAGCTTTTGGTCAAAAAACTTCTTGCACATGAAACTAACATTTAAAGATCAATATAAAGAAGACACAGACTAATATAATATGGAGGGGAAAAAAAGAAAAAGGTACGACACATCCAGGTATCTTGTCAACTTACCTGTTGTTGCCATGATATCTTCTGGAATCCTAAGAAGGGCATAGCAGGACCCTGGTTGAGAGTAAGGCAGAGAAGGGCAAGGAATGTACAGCAGAACATCCCAGTCCTCTCCTTCCACCACCACATTCACAGCTTCTAGTAACTGGTCATTCAAAGTGTTGGTGCAGTCGAACTAAAGGAAAAGAGGAAGAATTTAGTTGGATGTCTTTATCCTATTCTAATATTACTAACGAGCTATGATCATAATCACATATCTCATACTGATCTAAAGACACCTATCATTCTCATTAATCTTATAGACTTGTATATGCTATGATAAGCAAATCTATGACTGAAACAGATATAAGAATAATGTCCTTTTAAAAGCAAGCATGGACATACACGAAAAATGACCCTCCCCCTTTTTGTAGATAATGTAAATTGTCTCACCTGTAGGACAATGTAATCACGGAATGTGTGTTTGATGCATCGCACCATGTACTCAGTCTCAGACTCGGTGAGCTCCACTGGTGCAGACGACTTGAAGAGGGGACCCAGGTTGGCAAACTGGGGAATGGCTGACAGCTGCTCTGCATACCTTGGGTAAAGGAAAAATATTCAAACATCAGCTTTGCAGTCAAGAAAGAGAGAAATAACAATGGAACAATGCAATTATCTATAACTGCTTAAAGTCTTTGTTGTTTGTAGTCCTGCAGGATTTGATAACTTACTTCTCATGCGTGGGAACGACACGCTCCTCCTGCCGTGGTGCCACTTCCATGATGTTCTGCGCCTTCTTCTCTTCTTGTGGAGGGGGTGCTGTGGGCACTGCACGTGTCTCAAAGGGTGCAGAGGTGTCAGCGCGCAAGTACTGGACAAGGGCTCTCTCCAAGCTTGGAAGGGCAAACTAGGGGAGGAAAACTTTGCCTATAAGGGATCCATAACTATTCTCCACCTCACTCCCAATAATCTCCAGGTACATATTGAACATTTATGAAAGAAGTACTGTTGCCAAATTAGGTTTCCAACAAGAGCTTTAATCCAACCAAATTTCCTTTAGACTAAACCAAAGAAGTTTCAGCACACACCTGTGGAGGATTGAGGATATAGCGGTGGATGAGAGCAGAATCCCTTGTAGCCAGAACTGCGTGGTAGTAGGTGGCGCGGTCACGAACCTCATCCTCAGTGTCCATCATACAGCGTTGCAACAGAACCAGCACGTTGCTCAGCAGGGTTTCACACTGGGCACCAAACTTGGCAAGAACGGATACTGCGGCTGCCCTCACAGCGGCATTCTGCAGTTGCAAGATGGTGGTGATGATGATAACACTTTGCAGAAGAAAAATAATTATAATTCTTGATCAACAAAACAAAATATCTGAGAAAGGCAATACAGTTATACATAACATAAACAACTGACTCAGCAAAGGGTGTAGGAGCAGAGAACAAAAGTAACAAACCTCCAGGATCACACGGTTGTACACAAAACGGATGTAACGCGCTGGCTGGCGTGTTCGTGGTCCCTCTCGGCCCAGAAGGTGAAGGATTCGCACAGCAAGTGTTGTATGCTCACAGTCTTCAATGAACTCGCACAGGTGGTCCAAACCTACAAAAGAGAATAGGAGTATGATGCAACTTGCTTTTTCCTGTTATAACTAAAGGAAACTAATCAATACATTTTGGATTAACCTGTTGGATACGATTGTTTCACGGAAATCAAGGGGCCGAAAATACGGTCAGTGGGTAATGTAAGTAGCCAATATTCCAGGAATGCGTGAACACTCATGAGCGGTGACAAGACTCTGTGCCTCCCCTTTGCAAAGTTATTTTGTGTAAACTTTTATCTATTTATTTATTTTTTTTTGCCATTTTCCAATGTCAAAGTCTATTTGTGTTCTTATTTGCTTTATCCAGAAGGTAATCACTTATTTTCCTTGCACAGACTCCATATCACTATGCAGTAAATAACAGTGGGGGGGGGGGGGGTATTTGCGTCTTATATCTTGTTATTTTGTAATTTTCAATTTTCTATAATACAACCTGCGCCGCTGGTCACAGCAACCTAGAATACAGTGTGCAGCATGGAAATGGTGTACTCCTTGGAGCCGGCGCTCTTGCAGTCATGGCTTACATTCCACATTCATTCATTGATGGGAATAATGCTAAAGACCCCTTCTAAGTGCTAAATGAGTCTAATTATACTCCAAAAGGTTTGTGCACTCCTGGCAAGTCTTTTCTGTCACCCTGGCCTTTGCTCATGACATAATGGCCCATGGCCATTTTGTCCGATGATGGCATGCTTATGTCACCCAGCCCTCGACCTAGATTTTTTCATGATGGGACTGTAATATCATCTGGATCTTAGGGGTTCATATAGATATGGTTTTAATGGACTCACCCTTCTCCTTAGCCTCAGGGTTATCCTCAATAATGGTGATGATGGTGCTAGCAATGGCCTCCTTGTATGGAAGTCCACCCTCGCTACGGAGCATGTCCGCCAACTGGCCCATGAGCACAGCCTGCTTCCTGGGGTACTTCAATGCCAAGGCCCTCAGTGCCTGCCAGGTAAGGTGATATCAGTATTGTGAACATTTCATATAGATAAAAAACAACAATTACAAAACATTGTATCCATTATGCATAATTCCATTCTTTGTGCATCTGTCTTCCTCCAATTATTAAATGACGATTAAACCTAATCCAAAAAACTAATCTGAACCCCAAAAGCAAAGCAAAACAATGACATAAAAAATAAGCAACATACCTCAACTACAACGATCTTGAACTCATCCGAGATGTCGTTGAGGAAGGAAGAAATGGACTTCATGAGGCGGTCGACTGAGCCCTCAGAGCCAGTCTTGAGTAGGGTGGTGATCGCCAGTGTGGCAATGGAGCGGTTCACGTCCTGGATTAGGTTCTCCAGATCCAGGTTGCAGGCCGTCACTGCATTGGGTTGTGTCATGGCCACCTTGCTGAGGGTACGTACTGCTGCGAACCTAGAGGGGGGAAATGGAGAGAGAGAAAAAATGAATGAATACCAATTTTAATTATATGCACACAAAAATTTATCAAATGAATATAAAAGATAGGAACAAACAATTTAATTAAGAGACTGCACTAGGGATTATTTTTTTCTTTAAGAAGTGTACAATGAATGACATTAAATTTCTATTATCAACACTTCATTTCACAGAAAAATTCCAACCTAGATCTCACCTCAGGGTTGGCTTGGGGCTTGAGAGGAAGAGCTGGAGAACGGAGATGGCTGGGGCAAGGTCCCTGGCCGATGACTTCCTAAGGGTGACGATGGCGTTGGCTGCCTCGTAAATAACCATCTCTGCCTTGTGCCTCAACATCGACTCCAAGAAGTCAAAGAGGCGGCAGTCAGCACCAGCCTCATCCTCCTCAATGAGCCTAGCCACAATACGGATCTGGAGGAGACATTCTTGGTTCTTAATCATCTCAACATGAAATGCATAATATCCAGATAATAAACTAGGAGCATTAATTTTCTAGGATGTACTTATACTGACCTTCTGAAAGAGGAATTCCTTAAAGGAGCTACAAATCAATACTACTGCTCGAACAATGATACTCAATGATATTCATGACCAACAGAAGGACCTCCTCACTCTAGCAAACAGACCAGCAAAAGTTTTCCGAAACATCCCCTTTAATCTCACAGTAGGAAAAATCGCCAACACAAGGTTCAGGAGGTCCTAAACAATGGCAGGTGTGTCAACCAAAAACCAACCAAAAAACAGAAAAAAGAAGTGGACTCACCAGCAGACAGATGGCATAGGGAGATCGCGGGCCAGAGGATGTAAGCTTGGACACCATCTTCGTCACAGCCAGCTTGTCAGACTTGCGAATCTGGTGCAGGACCCCTAAGGCATGGAACTGCACCATCACACTGAAATAAACCATGGGGTTAAGAAACAGCAATACAAGGAAACTGATGTAAGTTTGGATCACATTACTGACCAGGATTTGTTTCCTTTGCCTCGTGAAGTTCTTAGGTTTTTCAAGTTTGTATTTTAAAATAGAGTAAGCATCTATAATAAAACTAAATCACTATTCTTCTTTAGACCTAGCAAAGACAATGATTAGACTTTGAGAATTATCAACCAAAAGAAACTGATGAAGACAAATTTACTGCTGCATTAGGGCAATATTCATCAATTTATTTTTTCTAATCCAGCACATGGCCCCTTTTAAATCCTCATCCCTAATTTAGGAATTGCATCTGAAGTCCCTCACATCCCTCTCTCCACTCACCAGTCGGAGCTAAGCGCCTCTTGCACTTCTGACACCCAACGCTTCACCACATCGGGGGAATCCTTCATGATGTGGCGACAGGACACCAGAGCAGCGCTGCTTACTCCTGGAGCGCGGTCCACAATGGCCTGCTTCATGTACCGCTCGATGGCTTGCATCATTGTTGCCTAAGAGAGTAAACGGTGAAGTACAAATGGAGCTGAGCCTGGACAGATTAGTATTTCCTAGTGATGATGATAATAAAAATGAAAAAAGATACATTTCTTCTGTACTTATAATTTCAATACTTTCTAGATTTTTGGACCATTTCTCAGCCAATACTCCTCTAATTAGTTCTATTTACTCAAAACATAGTAAATAAATAGCTATCTGAGAGTACGAAACTCCCCCCTGTAGTCCTCGCCAACTTACATCAGTGATGCGGCAGAGAGCCCTAATGGCTGGTGCTCTGTATTGGTCCTCTCTTCCTGTCATATCCTTGGTCAGGGATGACGTGACGATGATGGTATCTTCAGCCACATTGCATAATTCCTAAAAGCATTCCGAAGTTAAAATTAAGGTTTGGAAAAAGATTCACATCCACTTTTCATATCATAATATGCTTTATATTCATAATGCAGAGAATAATATCCCTTTCCTTCTTTCTCAAGTGACAGCAATAAACCTTAAAAAATCAATACAATGATTAATATCAAACCAATTTAGTCTAACGGTAATTTGAAAGATACATAGAGCAAATAAAAGTAATCCACACTAAAATTAAAAACTGTCAATAATTATAATAATATTAATAACAATAACATTATCAAAATGCTGATGATGACAAAAATAAAGCTGATAATGATAATGAAGAAGAAGAAGTAGGAAGAAAAAACAAACAAAGACAAAACACAAACAGTATATAGATTAATAAAAATCATAAAATCAGATTAAATGGAGGGTGGCCAGAAATTAAGAAAACACCCACCTTGATACCAAGATACACGAGCCTCCTCAGGACGAGGTCGTTGCTCTGGAAAAGCTTGGTCATGGCGAAGAAGGCATCTGTGGCCTCCTTAGTGGCTAACGTCTCGCCCTGATTGAGCAGGTACAGGATCTTGGTGAGGACATGTGTGCTGCGCTTGACGTTAACAGGTGTCTCATTGAACACCCGTGCCTCCTGCAGCACTGATGTCTTGTCCACACTGTGGTAGGGGTTCCCGCACCCTGAGAGCCGGGGAGGAGGGTTGTTTTAAGAAAATCTAATTCATAGACAATTTTCTTTTTAAAAATATTTTGTTGAGCACTGTATGAAAAGCAATAGAAAATCTTATCTTCTACATCAAGACATGTGAAATGAACTAAAGCAACAGAAAAGGATGAGTAGTAGTGAAAAATGGAAGTAAAAGAGAGATAGGGTGAGGAAGGGATATCGAGAAGAAAGATGAAAAGTAAAGAGAGAGAAAGGAAGAAAGAAGCAGAGACGAACTAATGAGGTGAAAAAGTAAGGGAGGAGAGGGAGTGAGAATAATCGAGCCAAAAATAAAAGAAAAACCTTCGCAGAATATAATTTTACAAATTATCATACCAAGTAACTCAATACGGAAACAAAACGCATAAAAAGCTGTGACGAAATATGTACAGTTGGCAATGCATCTACCATGCCCTTGGAGTGTGGAGGCTTGTCTTCAACCCAAAACCAAATCTGACATGCTTTGCCGTTAAGCCAATGACTCTGTACTTATCCTGTAAAGTTTAATGACTGTCTGGCCTGACCTGTTGAGAAAACTTTTGAGTCAAGAGACGCATCTTGGGAAACAGTCTTGTAAATCCATAGAAGCTGAACTGTAGAAATATAGCGATACAGAAGCAAGTGTTCCTACAAATCTGGGTTTTCATTGCTGTAATAAATTGCCAGCAAGTTGTAAAGAGAGAGAGAAAAAAAAGAAAAAAAAAAGAAAAGAAACAAAAAAGCAATATCAAATTTTGTTGCCCTGTTGTAAGGATAACTAATAAATTTCATAGAAAGGCAGACATGAGGTAATATTGAAAATTATGACTGGAAACAAGCAGAAAATTACACTATTTTACCTGCTTATCACATTTTTTCTAAATACTATATACACACATTTTATACCCTTAAACTCGTATCACTTGCAGTACTGTACAAAATCTAAGAAAGTCAAAAGTATTACACAATTAGGTAAAGTATTGCATGGGCCCACAGCTGATGTTGGCGGATTCGCTTAAATGTAGACAAACTCATCAATGCCACAGTACATGTTTTGAGGTCTGTGGCACGCTCAAAAATGAATTTGGGGAAAGTAAGGGGGGAGGGGAGTGGAACGATTGTGCACTTTAATCCATTCCTCTTGGAGGTACTGGTAAATCAAAAAAAGAAATGAATAACTTCATCCGTGTGGAAGTTCTTTTTCACTTGAGAAAAGCAAATTAGGAGAAAAGAGTAACTGAAGGACAAGCACACAGCTCAAAAATCTTGGTAGACATTGTACAAGGCCACTGGCTTCCTCATCACAGGAAGAGAGGACAAGGGCTGGCCAAGAGCAGGGAAGTTGAACATCACGGCAAATGTTACAAGGGCAGCAGGAACTATGCAGTATGGGAATCTTCTGCGACACTGAAGGTGAATGAAATGGCAACGCCTCAGTCTGGTGGACCCCGAGCTGTACAAGCTAACACACGCACCCATACTAAATACATGTCGAGCATCGTTACCTACAGTCAACAGCTACCAGGAATTTTCAGCTGTCAAGCTAATGACTAGCTAATATGTATATATTTGTAAGAGATTGAAGTTAAGCAAACTATTTGTTACTCCACCAGTCGACCTGATATCGTATGTCAAGGGCAAACGTCCAACCTTTGGCATGTTTGTGGTAGATCCCTCGATGGTCAAGTACAAAAGTTACAAAAGATGGTGCACCTGCAAAATTGATTAATGACCGTTTGTACTCAGAACAAAAAAACACAACCACACACATACAAAAATATTTCTTGCTACACCCTTTGGGACAGAATTCTCTAGATTTTGATTCCTTAGTAGCTAAGCTCAAAGTAGTGTCATGTTTCTTTAGCATTAATAAATGTTCTTGTATCACTATAAACTAAATCTTCTTTAATGTCTCTTACTTAATGTTTTTTGTTTTGTGCAAAAACTAGTGTAAACATGAAAACATGAACACAACAATCTATACAAATGTTACAGGGTCTGTGAATGGTTTAGGATACCTTATTTTTACATTTTTGGAATTTAAGGTAACATCTGGAATACTAATAATTTAGCAACTCAAGTGATCATCCCCGAATATACTTTTCCAGCATGCACTATGCATCAAATTGGATGCTGCAGTATAAACATTAATATACTATTTGTATAATCATTAACAAAATTATACAACTACTCCTCTCTAGTATCTGCCTCAACATCGATTTCAGGAAATTAATTCCCTGAAGTCATGCACATATATCTAGACAGAAGACTAGGTCACTTGACCTTATTAACAAAATCCCAATCATTGTCAAAAACCTTTTTTTTCTTAACTGAAAGACAAAAAACAAGAAGTAAATTTCACCTCCACTGCATAAAAGTTACTCCTTTATATATTAAGCCATACCTAATTAAAGCAAAAGTGTAAAAAACAAACAAACTGATACCTGCTTATAATTTTAGTGAGTACAGAATAATAATAATAATAATAATAATAAAAAAATATATATAATAATAATAATAATACACAACAAATCTATGCTATAAAAAAGAGAGAAGATAAAAGAAAATAATAAAACAAAAGCCAACACCACCAAACTATAACTTTCCACTGGCCTTAATCCACAAAGATCAAAGATAGTTCACACTCCAAAGCCCTTCCGTGATCACATAGTCAAAGAACGTTTTGGAAAAGAGAAAACCCTAAACTACAATGGTCATTTCTATAACTACTCAAACTGCCAGGCGTGGGAGCTTTACACCATAGCACTAATGTCAAAATCATGCTTGAACTGAGATATCCCAAACCCCTTGTATTTTTTGGATTAAACGCCTACGTAAATAAATATAGCTTTATGCTAAAGGTTACTCTTGATGTGACAGACTGTCTGTTTATGTATGCTTCTATATTACCCACTGTGCGCAAGGAATAGCTGGGGTTACCATCCAGTGGCAGAGAGGAATTTGAACGCGGGTCAGCAAATTTGCTCGACAGTAACACTGCCACACAGCACAAATTATTTAGATGTGAAATAAGTTGGTATAAGTTAAAGACACCAACATGCGTAGATAGTGGGAAATGGACACTGCCATCTTATACAGGAAGAAATAGAGTGGGATAGAACATAGTTTAAGCTGCAGAGGCCTCATATTTACTTTTAATTGGGGGATTAAGTGGATATGTTATGTTTTTGTTATTTTAGTTCGCATGATAACCACATTTTGTTATATTATCGAGTTTGTATGCATTGCGTGTTGCACTTGCTTACTTGAGCGGTATTTCATTTGTTGTCCGTCGGACAAAGTTTAGTTCATCTTTCTGATTATACGGCCTTTCTATTGTTTTCTGGACATTGGCTCATCTTTCAGATAATCATACTTCTTAATGATGTTTAAATGGTATTTAGTTTCTTTCAACATTTACAGGTTGATATTGACATTGTGCCATCCCCCCCTCACCCCCCTTTTGTGCTAGGTGAACTCAGTCATACCCCTTACCCTCTCCCCCCATTGGAACTTACTCTATGAGAGAGTGCGTCGCAATCGGTAACAATTACCAATAAGTCGTCAGGCATGTTTGGTTGTAAGGCTTAAAACCTTTACCCACTCTACCCAGCTAGTCAATATACTATACTTAATCTATCTCCCATACCTTCCTTATCAAGTGAATGCACTTGTGTATGTCCTATAGTTTGAATAATGGTAAACTATGTCTATTACTATCATTATCGTTCTTACTGTGAAAACAATTATATGACTGACATTAGTATATTGAAATAGCTTTAACATGGGGGTATTCATGCTGACAAATGAATTATAATTATAGCTAAATTTAGAAAAGGATTGGTTTAGGATTCAGCGCAAAGTCAGAATTTCATGGAAACTGGGGGGGGGGTAACATTATTAACAACTAGAGTACTTTGAACAAGGTTTTGAAAACTTTCACCCATTTTTTTTTCTAATGAAACCAAAAATGTAATATGAATATCAAACTCGATTGCCAATGAATTTCTGTATTGAAATTGAGTTTAATAAATTGGTTCCAGTGCAGCATATTCACAGATGACGCTCGCATGATATTTATCTTCAAATAACGAATCAGTCTATCCTATATCCTGCAGAAATGCAGGGATGGGTCTTGAAATTTTTGCTGTGACTCCATTAGGTGTGGAGGCAACCAAAATCACCTTTCAAGTGGTATACCACATTGGAGTAATTCTTGAGCAAAGGACTGCATCTTCCAAAAAATAAACAGCTTTGGTGTTCTAGGGTAAGTCAACATATTTTTACCCCAATAATCTGCAGGACAGAGCTCAGCCTAGTCTCTTATTTGATGGCAAACCACCTGGATGGTTTACGAGCTCAACTTGCTAAAATATACTATATGTGATAAAAAATATTCTGTTTTTACCAATTGTGCTGAAGGCACAGAGGCCATTGCATGCCCTTGAGACACTGTGGGAGTATCTTTGATGAGTCTTTGTGGGAGCTGCTACACTTTCTGTAAATTGTTTTCTACAGCTAGAATTCCATTCGTTAACCCCTAGAGACTATCTGAGTTAGATCTTGCCTGTTATAATATTGCCTCCTTTACTTCCTGTTCACCACCTCCTGATTTTGGTACAGGTTACTTATAGTGACACACGGATATGGAGGGAAATTGACACCATCTCATTGAATGTAAGAAATAGTCAGAAACAACATAGTTAAAGATGTAGCGGCCTAATATCCACTGCTAAATGATGAAAATATCCCCTACTTATCACTGCTCAGGGTCTAAGTTGCTCATCTTGTTTACCTTGGCAGGAAAAACAAAATGCTGACCATATAACTCATTACTGCGATATCCCAAGTAGTTCATGTGTTACTATGCACTTATCAAAACTATATTTTGCTAATCATTAATGTCTTCTGATACACATCCAAGCTTTTAAAGGCTTTAATTAATGTTATTATATTCCAATTATGTGTTTTAAGATTGATCTATACAGTTCTTTGAGATGATCTGCGCATCATGCCTTTCTGTGTTTCAGTCGCCATCCACATGGTTTGACAGCTCACCAGCCATTTCGTGTCAAGTGGACCAGTGAGAAATATTCCGTTTCCTGTGTTGTACATGTTATTCTAAAGATTATACAGTGGCATCAAAACAAATAGACTAGTAACCATCCCAGTTAGATATCTGAGCCCTTCATTCAAGACTCCCAAATGACAAAAGAAATTGATTAAAAACAAAGCAATCTAGAGAGTAAAAAGAAGTGAACAAAAGTTTGACATTTCTAGATATAAATGTATTTGGTTTATCATTTTACGGTGTGAATGCAGCTCCATCTTACTGTACATACCTAGGTGAAGAGAATATTTCCCGGGGGGTGTTAGGGGTGGAGTCCCCCCATCAACCTTCCCTTGGGAAGTGCTCAAAGGGCACGCCTAGTCACAGAAACTTAACTTATAAGATAAGGTTGGTTATATGGGGGGTAGATTTTACAGACATGTGAGTTGGGTTCCCATAGTTTTTAAAATTTAGGCGTGTCGATCAGTAGAATTTCAAA